CGCACTTAAGGCCCCCAAAAAACCGACCAGCACCTGCTGCCCCACCACAGCGAGTGGCTGGGCGAAGCTTAGCCGGAATAAATCTACCATAAAGATGCCTGACATTATTCAAAATACCAGAACTACAGAATTCCCCAAATACCAAACCACCAAAACGAGAACGAGGATGAGGAGGAGGAGCCGCATCGAGCTGGAGCGAGCAGTTGGACGACGGGCAAAAAAGGCAATAAAATGTAATGCCAGACGAGGGAGCCGCGAGATCGAGTGGAGCGTGGAGGCACAAACGACTTCATTTTATCTTAATGTGCTAATAAATTTCCCAGAGACGAAATCTCTGCCAAAAACCAAATAAATTTACTAATACCAAAATTATCACACAAGCAGCTAAGGAGGGAGATGAAATGGAACAGAAAATGAAATGGAGCGCCAAGTAGTTGACTGAGTGGCATGCGTGGAATCGGAGAAATGCAATTAAGGCGGCCAAATCATCTGGAGGAGCAGTCCAAGGAGAAGGGAGGAGCCCGCATGGCGTCTTAAGTGTTTAAGTAGCTAAACGGCTGACAACCGGAGGAGTTATGGCCCGGCCTGCAGTTTCAAGTTGGCGCGTGCTCCGCGGCCGCACAGCACCCACATCGCGCAAAGTAGTCTGTCAACACAGGGTCTGGGATGGAGGCGATCCCGCTTGGATGTCGGATCTCCACTTGAGTCCATCGCTGACAATTCCACCCCCAAATAGGGACTGGGATACTCCTCTTCACCTCGCCGAATGAATTGCCCTAAAAGGGTTCATGCCTTGGGCTCGTAAATCTGATATTACTCAAGTGGGGACCTGGCACCTGAGCTCACTATATAGGATATAGCTTCTGGGGTATTAGAACAATTCATTCCAAATGGTTTTTCAAATTACCAAACTTGATATCTCAAGTTTTACGATCGTTTGATGGAAAAACGTAATTTATACGACATTTATGACTGCAGCAGCTGAAGAAATGAAAGATGTTGAAACTTTCTTTCAATCCGAATCTAGGAATTAGTCCTGGACTGTACTTGGACTTCCTTGGTTCGCGCCCTTCAAGCCGTTGCCACCCCTAAAAGTGTCGCCCAAGTGTCCCTACATTCTGTATGCAGTCTCATGTGCATTATTTTGCATGTCTGGCGATTTGAGCAACTCATGCGTAAAGGTCAAAAGATCAACGTAGCCAGGGCTCGGACAGCAGAGGGGAGAACGGTGACTGGAGGGAGGTTTTTCAAAGGAATTTTCTCTACTTTTTCCGGCGTTAATGCTCTGATTTCGTTTTGAAAAATGTACACAGCATTTGCATTTGTCCATTGTCCAGTTCGCTGATTAGGCGTGAAGTCTGGGATTTGAATAAGAGTCTTACCTTGGGTCTCTCAAATGCAGTTACATATTGCTTTTTGGCGGGAAAGGAGAAGTAGATCGAAAACATAATAAATGGGTGAGAAGTTTTTAAAATAAATTAAATTGCCAACGGAGTGTTCCTAGACATGGAAAAGATTCAAGGTATAGCAAGCATTTGGTTCTCTACAAATGTTGTTTTATTATTTAAAACCTGTACGAACTGGTTTATGGGTTAATAGGTTAAATAGCAATAAAGTATTTAATATATATAATATAATATATAAAAGTCTTCTCTGTTCTTAATCCAACTTAAAGCATAAGCTGCTTAGAATTGCATCAATGCCAATAATCATTAAGAACTGTTAAGTAAGAATATATCTCATAGATATCTTACTGCTAAAATCACAGTCCACATCACAGTAATTCACACTCTAGAACCTTTCAACATTCCAGAAGTTTTCTTAGGGAATTTCTCCGCAAAAAAGAGGTCAACATCTCTAATTAAGGTCACCTTCATCCCAGCTCCCTAGACCATCAATTCTTACAGCCTTACAACACGTTCCGCCTTATTATGACCATGCGAACAAAGAACAATAAAAAACAGAGCAAATTTTTACCACCCCAGCGGGTAGGCAAAGAAAAAATAACACTTAAAAAATTTGCAAACATGTTTTGCATACAGCAAAACCGATCATCAAATATATTCACATGCAATCACATTAAACTCACCCATGAAAAGAACGGTATCTTAGGTAGATTTTCACCCAGAAAAACGCACTCGAGACAAAGCCAAGAAGATGTCCGGAGTGCAACCACCCGAGATCCCGGGCCCCGAGGAGACGTCCAGCTGCTGGGAGACGAGACCCACGTCATGATCGCGATCGGGACAGATCTTTTGTGCAAACTGGAGCGACCCAGTGCGAGTGCGAAAATCTACCCCATAATCGCAGAGAAAAACCCGAAATAAAACGGAATAAAGTCGGCTGGACAATGGAAAGTGGAGGGGGCGATTCAAAATGTTTATTTGCGTATCGAAATGTGCAAATTTTTTCCAAATTTCAGTTTCTTCTTGAATATTCATACATAAATCTTGAAGGGAAAAGTAAATGTAAATTTCCGCATTGTTCTCTTTCCCGTTGAGCCGCAGGCCAAGGTCCCCGACGGAAGTAGAAATGGGAATACTTTTCGAACTAAATTCAGTAGTTTACTCATGCTGACATCACCTGTCCAAATCGAGAGGCCCAACACGATAATTGGTGTCATAAAAGTTAGTTAAATCATATTGGACGTCAGTCAAATCGGTGACATTTCCAAATTAGAAAGAGCCCGCAGACGCAAAGTTATGGGGCGGTGACTCTCCATTGCGTGATGATTGCCATGGCCATTGTTTTGATGACACGCCAAATGGTTTCTGTTTCCAAGACCATTCCACCTGTCAGCCGAGTGGACAGCTACCTGCACACACAATTACCGCCCGCATGACGAGGGCGTGCCGGGTGGCGCTTGCCAGATACACTGTAAAGAAATGCAACGAAATTGAGTTAAACTTATAATTTATGAATAGTTTTTATTAAGAATAATTCAGGGAAATACTTTAACAAAACTTAAAGAACAGACAGTTGGGATTGTTACCTCGTTTTATCAATATTCCTTTGAATATCCTGTCGCCTGTTGTTGTTCATCATTCTAATATCCATATCACTATATATTCCTATGCACAGTATTGACTAGCTAATATACTTATTTCATTTTCTTCGAGTGTACATATATGGTCAATAAATGTAGTCTAGATTGTCTCCACTGCATAGGCAATAATCACAAATTTACAGCTCGTCAGCGGGTCGAGTAAATGGCGACAGCGTTATGTCATTTGACGTTGATTTCTGATAGCAGTAATTATATGTAAATTAATTATGGGTCTCGGGGCAGGGCTAGTAGTAGTACTTGCATATATGGCTCAATCGAGACCTGTCCCCGGCCCCCTTTGATAGAGATATGGTACTTCTGCCCAACCCTGCTCACAGCATTTGGCCAAACTAGTTGTGGCATGCAAATTGACAAGTCCACGACTGCGCCCAGACAACTCCAGATACTCGACTCTGTTTTGCCAGAGCTTGGGCCGCAAGTGGCAGAGACAACTCAATGATGTCTGTAAATGTTACGCTCGATTGAGGATCCCCAACCAGCCGGGGGGACTGCATCCAGCAGATAGCAGACAGTGGATGCGAGTTAACATGAAATGGCAGATTCAGATACAGATGCACCACACTCAGATGCAGATTCGGATTCAGATTCAAATGGAGATGGCGATGGAGATGCAGTTGCAGATACAGTTGCAAGTGTGCAGCTGCCGAGCAGCGATCGAAGTGGCGCGATCATGTGCAAAATGCTTTTTTTCGGCATAGTGCTCCATGGAGGCACTTGACATGAAGAAATAATTCCATTGAGTTGGCAACTATGCCGGGAATCTCGGGCGAGACAAAATTAGACAAGAAGCGTGATTTACGGAACCCTTAAATCACATGACAACAACCCAGATCGCTGCAGATCGGGAATCGAATCGAGCAAATGCGATGACAATGTCTGGGCAGCACATGTGTGCGAATGGAGATGGAAATGGGTCTGGAAATGGGACTGGGAGCGGAGTTGATGGGAGGCGGACAATGATACCGATACCGCGTTCCCGATCGATCGTCGCTTTCCTCTGGCAGGCCCCCTGATTTATGGCACTGCAGCCTCCGAACAGATCAGACAGAACAGCTCCGAACAGAAACAGATCAAAGAAAATCAGTGAGGCTCTGAGATCTGGTAACTTCATATGCTTGTGCTAAGCACCGATCATCGATCACTGATCGTGTGACCACGACCACACTGGGGTATTTCCAGTCAATAAAGCATTAAAATTGGGTTTGTTGTTGTTTACCTACTTAAGCATCGAGATGATTCGACAACACACCTCCCGGCTTCCGCATCGCTTTTGGTTTTGCCCGAAAAAAAACCACAACTTTTGTTTACAAAAACTTAAATGACAATCTTTTCACACCTGAGCAAACTAGTTTGCGGGATGAATACGTAAGAATAGAGCTCAGATTTTGGCATCTCATTGTGCTATTTAATACTAGGTGCCTTTCTTGCCATTCGAATTATAAGCCTCTTAACAAAAGTGCCTCTAATTATTACTTTCAAAAGTAAGAAAGAAATCCCCTCGAAGAACATGTAAAATATTTCAACAAATATTGCCAAAAATAAATTTGCATTCATTAGGGACCAACAGACCGGCACGAGATCTTAGTCAGAACCTGTTTATTGATTTGTTCATTTCGTCATCGAATTTGGGAGTATTTCTAAATGTTCCAAATGCAAAAAAAAAAAAAAAAAATGAGAAGAAAGAAAACCACAAAAGCCGGTGGGGATTCTAGGCAGATGTTTGTCTTTAGTCATCTTTGGGAGGAACAGGTTTCCCATTTGGGCATCGTATTTTGTTTAGATTGTTCTTGAATCTCATTAATATCGAGACGATAAATGCTAGCCGCGATCTGCGACCAAAGTCGCGTATAAAAGACGATCTCAAGTGGCGGTTCTATATCAGTTAACACCGAAATTTCATCGCTATTGGAAGTTCTCATATCGAAAGTGAAAAATGCGTTCCGCGATTCTATTTGGCTTGATTGCCTGTCTGGCCTTGAGCCTAGTGCTAGCCTTTGAGGAGTCCAGCCCCGTCCAGTCCAACGACTTGTCCGCCGTGGAGAAGGGCATCGGCCAAGCTGTGGAGTCCGAGGTACGAGCCAAGCGTCAGTTTTACGGCGGATATGGTCGTCCACGATTCGGATATGGTGGATATGGTGGATATGGTAGATATGGATATGGAGGCTATCCCTTTTACGGAGGATATGGAGGATTTGGAGGACTTGGTGGATATGGACGTCCCCCCTTCTTCGGTGGTGGCTATGGGCCCGGCTTCGGTTACTACGGCTAAGCCCATCGCAAATCTGTTGCTACCAACAAACGAAGACTGACGACCAGGAAAGATTTTACTACCTACCACCTTTATAATACAACGACACAAATATGGTGTCAAATATCATATCGAAATTATTGTACGAAAATATATATCTAAAATATGAAACATCTAAAAGATTAAGTGAGAAAATATTGATTTAATTCGTTGCCTGGATTTCTGGTTTCCAGAAATTACTTGAGTTTCAAAATTCACTGAGAAGTAATCGAGGTATATCGTTCATATTTCTATTGATTTATATATTTAATATCGATATGGACTTACCTACTAACAACCAAGAATGTGTGTGCATCTTCCCCAGTATTGGGGATCTGCAGAGTCCCAAATTATCTCGCAACTTGACCTCGTCTGTGGGAATGTGTGTGACCCAGAGCGACGACGTGAGCGCGACCGAGGCTAGGAGCCCGGGGTTTGGGGTTTGGGGGAATATTTTAAAAATAAATAACAGAAGATCTCCATTTATTTATTAGTGCGTTCGCCAGGTCTCGCTCCTGAGCCATGCTAATTATAAGTCCAAGAAGGCGGAGGAGGGTGTTCTTTGTTTATGTTCCCTGAGCTGTCACGATCTGTTTGCTTTCTTTTCGGGCACTTTGCTCCTCCGCCTCCGCCTCCGGATGGGACTTGTGTGGGAGTCGCTTTGGGGCTTGCAGCAATTATCACGTACGATTGTCATAATTATCATTTTGGATTTTATTAGCTGGACCCGCGGGCCAATCTCCGCCTGTCGCCATGCCTCTTTGTTCTGCTGCAGCAACTGGAAAGGTAAATAGGTAAATATTTAAATGATGTCACTGAAGTTGGCATGGAATCGCTGCCATTTTTAGTGGGAACATCAGGAACAGTAGACATAAATCACTTTAAAAATTTTGGCATTTAGCGGGCAGCTAATCAAATTTGCAGCATATGCGTTAAGAGCCCCATAGAGTTTTATTGATGTCCTAATCCTCTTCTAATCAACATAAAAGCCAGCCTCAGACCACGATGCATATTAATTTGCACACAAATCCGCCAATAGATGGTTATCACGGGCTCGAGGGTTTCCGGGGTTCCGGGGGTCGAGGGCTTCGTTGCAAACAAAACGCCCAGCTCGATGACTTACCCCAAAAACAAGAACGCCCCTCGGCCGAGTCATTGTTTAATTGTCAATAGACATCGGCTTCTATCAATATCATAAAAGCTAATAACTCTCGGTTGGCTGGACGCGGCAGACGGTGGGCAGCCCCGCTCTAATCCCACCGGATATGCTCAATCAAAGCGCAAAGTGTGCGTGCCGGGGGAAGGACACTGGAGTGGGTGGTAGGTAGGAGGTGGCTGACAGTGGGTGTGTGGGGTGTGAGGTGTGCAAAGGCAAACCTCACTCAACCTGCCCGCTGGGGGTTGCTTGGCCGCTGGAAATCATCGCATTTCATTCATCACTTTTCGCCTTTTCAGCGTGAGCAACCCTCCACAGAACCGAGCAGGACTTGGACATGCCTCCCCCTCTCTTGGCATGTTTTGATATTAAAATTGCGTAATTATAATTAACCACATGTGTGTGTGTGACTGCATGGGGAAGCGGTTTAGCATGTCCTTTGACTGCTTCCTGCTCGTCGACAAAAGGCGAGTCGGTTAAAGTTACTTCCTCCCCTCTTTCCTGGTGTGTGTATGTCACGTGTGTAACTCTGTAAGCGATCCTGGTTAAGTCTGCTCTGCCCCGGGGGCATAATCCATAACTTAGCCGCCTGTCAGACAATTGATACAACTTCCGAGCCCAATCACCTGGTAATTAAAAAAGGGAAATTCTTATTTTAATTAGGAGAAGGCCTTGTCCTTCTTGGGGTTAGCAATTAAAGGTAGTAAGACCAGATAGGTTAGCTCAAAATGTAATCTTTAATAAAAAAAATATCTAGGTAGGCTACAAATAAGACTTGTTCTTTATTTACAAAAGACAGTAGATTGATTGGCTTTCGACATAATTTAAAAAAACTGGGATTTCCCTTGCTTTTTACATTTAGTTATTTTTGCTGTTAACCCATTTGGTCATAGAACTTTTGTTTGAAATTGCTTTTGAATATCATTATTTCGAGTCTTCGGTGTTAAATCGATGCGACACACCGCAGTTCAATTGCGTTTCCCACAGAGTATAAAAGCTAATCTAGAAACCCAGTTCACCATCAGTTAAAACCGAAAGTTCATTGCAATTTGAAGACACCGCAACGCAATGCGAATCACAATATTGTTTGTCCTGTTGGCCTGTCTGGCTTTCAGTATGGTCTCTGCATCCGAGGGATCGACACATCAGCCAGGATATAGGCGCCCTCCGAGGAAGACTGTCGTCCAGGCGGTGGAGACACCGAAGCGAGTCAAGCGTACTTTACTTATGAGACCCCACTTATACCGATATGGATATCCAACCTATTACTTTATCTAAACAATTGCAAAATAAAACTACTTTCACGCCATGCATAAATTAAATGATTTCGTTGGTGTTTTGAGGAATTTCAAGATTCCATATTCCAATAAGAATCAGTAGTCTTTAACTCTTCCCAAACTACACATCCATCAGCTAATGCGTATGCCCCAAAAAAATTCCCTAATTGTAATTAAGCATGGGAATCCACAATGGATGCTCAACAGTAGAAGATGGGAAACCGAAACCGAAACCAAATAATGTGGCCAATAAAATTACAGTGTCTTGCAGGGAGCCTAGCTAGGGCTCGGGGAGAGTGGGAGATGGATCTAGTGAGGAGTAGGAGTCAGGGTACAGTCCAGGGTACCGACATTCCAGATACCAGAAACAGAGACAGACAGGGCCGCAGATGAGAACGGACTTGCGCTGGGGGATTACAAACGTGTTGCCATTAGTTAGCTTCAGCTTTGATTGATTTCAATTAATCTTGGACGCGTGTAATTAATCATTGAACACTTTAATATGGTTAACAACTCTTGACCAAGCAACGGTTAAAAAGGTTCAACGAGCCAAAGGCGGGCGAACGAGACTCTGGCCACTGACGACTGTCGACTGTCGACTGACGACTGACGACTGACAAAGTGACTGACCACAAGGCAGGTCCAGGGCCTGGGAGTGGAGACTCAGAGTGGTACTGCGGTTGCCGGGGCAGCCGCCTTCAAGAAAAATGGCCAAGTTAGGAAAATGCGTTGGAGTAATAGTCGGTAACGAAGCCGGCCAGGGATTTCCATAGCCCAGTCTCAGAGGCAAGATTCGGATTCCGTCTCAGCCCCCGACTAATTGTGCTCACTATGGATTTCGCGCCACTTGGTGGAGAGCTTTGTGGTCGTGGCAACGTGGAAAGCGGTTCGCGATTGATGGCTATCAATGCCGATGACTTATGGACTCGTACACAGAGCCAGACCCAGACTCAGCTCCAAGTTGAAGTCGGCACACACATGAGCTGAGCTAGCAAATCCATCCATCTATGTGGCACATTTGACTGCAGCTCGGCTCGATTATCTGGGCAATTGCTAGTCTCGTTGGGCTATTGATTTTCCCAGGCCGAGCAAATAGCTGTGGGCATTGCGGAAAAGCCGAATCAGCGGTTAGGCGATCTGGAGAAGGTGTCATTAGGCCGTCTCGATATACCTCTCTAAATGGAGTTATCATGGCAAAGTGCCCGTGCCCCTCCCCATTCAGGGCACACAAAGGGAAATAGCCGTCGAAGACCAATTGATCGAATTTCACACATGGGCGCTAATGAATTTAATGAAGTCATTTTTCTTTAACCGATTTACAAAACTACTTACAACCGGCGGGGCCAGAACAAGCGAGTTCATAATTTCGCATCATTAATCACGGCCCAACAAAGCGATCTCGGGCAGCCAGAGATTGACAGCTCCAGACGGGGGAAAGTAATTTAGGCAGGCAGCTTAGATCGCTGGAGCGCCTGATGGCCGCTGGGAAATTAAAAAACAATTGTTAATTATTAAATTTTAAATTTTACACTTGGCCGCAAATGATGTTCATTTCATCGGGGGCCAATCTGGGAGCTGCTGAAGCACCACAGCCCCAGCATTGTGGCTCCGGTCGACACCTCGCTGATGAGATCATTCATCAAAGCCATAACCTGGGTGAAATGAGTTGCCATTGTTGCAGCCCAGAGTCGGAGGAGAGTCTCCTTATTCCACCAGCTATTCTTTTTCTTTTTTTTGGCATGGGTTCATCTGAGCTTGACTGCTCAATTATCACTTTGATGGGGTCTCCGCCAGCGGACAGCTCGTGAGGACCCGCATGGAGCTGCGGGAAAGTGTTGGCTTACGTTGTTAAAAACTCCATTTGAATTGAGGATGAATGAAATTCAATACCACTTCCGTTAAAAGTTTTGGGAGGGTTATAAATTATGTCTTTTGGGTATCTTTGATTGGAGATATTAAACTTCATAGAGAAAGGACTTTAGTATAGATTAAATAACTAATTTAGTCTTTAAATATTGAATTGAATATTGAAATAAATATAAACATACTCTCAGGGAAATGATTTTAATTGAAACTCTTTCCACAGCAAATGCAGCAATAATTCATGGAAATTGTTCGTTACTATTTCAACTTTTTATTCACAATAATCTCCGCTTGACCAAGGTCCATGTTCTCGCCTTTGTTCTCGACTGACCTAAGCCAAAATTGCGTTTTTCTTTCCGCCGAGGAAATGCGATCACGACCGCAAAGCGTTGCGCTTCATTAAAATCGGATTAATGTTCTGCTGGATGTAGAAGTCCTGGCAAAGGACGCACAGCTGAACTGACCAATGTCCCCGGGATGGCTGACCAGTGTCCGATTCCCACGCTGCAGCCGTGTCTGTAGATCCCTGGACGCCTTTGGGCCACCGTATGCAAAAACGCAAGACGCCGAAGACGGAATTAAAATGGAAATGCGTACGAAATCGACCCAAAATCAACCCCAAAAACTCGACGGTTTCTTGGACAAAACCCAGGTAATCGGGGTGGACAAGCGGAACCCTTTTTGGCGCAGCCATAAAATTGTCTAAGATTTTACGAAAATCGAGCAGAAAATTTCGAGG